CTCTTGTGTCCATGCCCCTTTATCTGCTCAGACCTTAGGGTACTCTTCTAGGTTGAGGTCAAGGTGTTTGTCTGGCAAAGGCTGGGAGCCTCCTATCCAAAGATAGGAGCCAAAACCTCTGTGCAGAAATCCTTAATTGTGTGAGTGTTCAGTTCAGTCGTTCAGTCGTGTCCAACTCTTTGCAACCCCATGGACTGCAGCATGCCAGGTTTCCCTGTCCATCACCGAATCTCAGAGCTTGCTCAAAGTCATGTCCATTGAATCAGTGATGCCATCCAACCGTATCATCCTCTGTTGTCTTCTTCTTCTCCTGCCTTTAATCTTTCCCAGCATCAGGGTCTTTTTCCAATGAGTCAGTTCTTCACATCAGGTAGCCAAAGTATTGGAGTTTTTCAGCTTCAGCATCAGTCCTTCCAATGAATATTCAGAACTGATTTCCTTTAGGATTGACTGGTTTGATCTCCTTGCAGTCCAAGGGACTTTCAAGAGTCTTCTCTACCACCACAGTGTAGTGTGGTCCTGGTGAATTTGGTCACACACTTGTCACCAGCATTGCCCATAAGAGACAAATCTCAGAAAGACAGACCTTACAGTTTGTCCAGCAGCATGTCTCAGTATATCCAGATTTGAATCAGAGATACTCAGTTTTTAAATGTGGGTCACTAAATTCTAGTTATTTTTAAAAATGTATCTGCAATGGAAACTTGAACCCTCTGCCCTTAGGAAACACCACTTGATAGAAGCTTTTCTGTAAAGGTTGTAGGTAATATGCTAGAGAAGTTTGAATAATTACACTCTCTCGTATTTATAACATCTTATAGTTTACAGGGCACCTTCGAGAAAGTTGCATCATTTGATTGTCACGGTAATCCTGTAATGCTATTGGAGCTCATGCTGCCATTATCATATCACAGAGAAAGTATGAGATGATAATAAGTAATTTGCTCAAGGTTATTTGGTCATTGGGAGGTTTACCTGCTTGTTCTTTTATGTCAGTAAAGTTGTGGTACTCTGTTACCATGTGGCAAGCACTTCAGACACATTGTCTCATTAATCCTTCTACTAAGGTGTAAAGAGCTTCCTTTTAAAGATTAGAAACATACACTGTTAACATTAAGTATTATAGCATGTATCAAGCCTTATAGTGAAGTCTTTTGCAAGTACTAAAAGCATTAAATGGACTGTCTCATTGTATCCTCATAATAGGAAGAGTCTGCTCTTCACATCAGGTGGCCAGAGTGTTGGAGCTTCAGCTTCAGCATCAGTCCTTCCAATGAATATTTAGTGTTGATTTCCTTTAGGATTGACTGATTTTTTCTCCTTGCAGACCAAGAAACTCATGAGTTTTCTCCAGTACCACAATTTGAAAGCATCATTTCTTTAGCACTCAGCCTTCTTTACGGTCCAACTCTCACATTCATACATGACTACTGGAAAACAAGCTTTGACTATATGGACCTTTGTCAGCAAAGTAATGTCTCTGCTTTTTAATATGTTGTCTAGGTTTGTCATCGCTTTCCTTCTAAGGAGCAAGCATCTTTTAATTTTATGGCTATAGTCACCATCCATAGTGACTTTGGAGACCAAGAAAATAAAATCTGTCACTACTTCCACTTTTACCCCTTCTATTTGTCATGAAGTGATGGGACCAGATGCCATGATCTTAGTTTTTTTAATGTTGAGTTTTAAGCCAGCTTTTTCACCCTCATCAAGAGGCTCTTTAGTTCCTCTTCACTTCCTGCTATTATAGTGGTATCATCTGCATATCTGAGATGTTGATATTTCTCCCTGTAATCTTGATTCTAACTTGTGATCCATCCAGCCTTGTATTTTGCATGATGTACTCTGTATATAAGGTAAATAAACAGGCTGACAATATGCAGCCTTGTCATATTCCTTTCACAATTTTGGACAAGTCATTCTATGTAAGGTTCTCATTATGGCTTTCTGACTCGCATACAACTTTCTCAGGAGACAGGTAAGGTGGTCTGATCCTCTTGTCTCTTTAAGAATTTTCCACAGTTTGTTGTGATCCACACGATCAAAGGCTTTAGCATAGTCAGTGAAGCAGAAGTAGATGTTTCTCTGGAACTCTCTTGCTTTTTCTGTGATCCAGTGAATGTTGAACATATGTTAATCTATACTTTGAAAGTGAAAGTGAAGTCACGGTCGTGTCTGACTCTTTGCAACCCCATGGACTGTAGCCTACCAGGTTCCTCCATCCATGGGATTTTCCAGGCAAGAATACTGGAGTGGGTTGCCATTTCCTTCTCCAGGAGAGCTTCCTGACCCAGGGATTGAACCTGGGTCTCCCACATTTTAGGCAGATGCTTTACTGTAGATTAACCCAAATGAAATTGCTGATATTTGACAGTTTGTCTTCTGTATCAGCAGTTGCATATGGTTCAGTCTAATAATATGTACTTTATCTGTCTCTAATCAATCTTAAACTAATTTCCAGAGACAGGAAACAACTATGAATAAGTGGGTTGTTGGGGGAATTTGTAATTGCATTGAGAAATCTGCTAATAATTTACTAACTTAAGAAAGACCCTGACCTTCCTTGAAAACTGAGGAAAATCCACATAAATTTGTCAAATTTAGGTAGAACTTTTCTTTTCCAGACATTTATTTTTGTCATAAACAGGATGTCTAAGTTTTAATTGATTTTTTAAATGACAATAGCTTCTTGAATGTTATAAAATTATAATTATAAAATTATGAATCAAGAGTCCTATCTTTTAAATCACATCCTTCACTGGAAGATTCTTATTTGTAGACATTGGCCTTACTTTAATCTCTAACTGAAAAATGTATGCTATGTTTTGGTATAATAATGATCATAAAGAATTCGGTAGAGCTTTGTCTTTATTTCTTGTTCACCGTGAAGATTACTTTTTAAATAGTCAACTGTTCTATTTACCTAAACCCCACTAAGAATCTCCAGTTAGTGAAAATAATCAATACTGCGGCCAAGATTCAGCTTCATCAAAGACATGGGACATCCTTTGATGTAACCTGTTTAGAAATGCAGGCTGAGTCTTGGCTTATTTATGTGTTTATTTTTCCCTGTACTTGTGTTAGTTCCTAGAAACACATGGATGCCTTTTCTTCACACTGGTTCTGCTCAGTCTCTCCACCTTTGTGTTAGAAAGCTGAATGAAGGTTTTGAAGAGGTTGAGACACCTCCTTGTGTGAAAGAAGTGATTGAGTTGAGTGCAAGCCACCAGAATGTGCTCATTGACTTCTGTGTGGTTTCCTTCAAGTTCAAACATGGTGCCCTTTATTCTGCTGCTCTTTTTTTTTTTCTTTTTTCCATTTACTTTTATTAGTTGGAGACTAATTACTTTACAATATTGTAGTGGTTTTTGCCATACATTGACATGAATCAGCCATGGATTTACATGTGTTCCCCATCCCCATCCCCCCTCCCGCCTCCCTCCCCATCCCATCCCTCTGGGTCTTCCCAGTGCACCAGCCCTGAGCGCTTGCCTCATTCTGCTGCTCTTTTTAACATGCATGTTCAGGATTTCCCTGCTGACGCATGCTATTTACACCACTTTCAAAGAAAGTGGATGCATATGTTCATAAGTTTGATGATTCAAAAAATAGTTTAAAAAAATAATGTCATAAAGAATATTTAATTATAAAGATAAAGCTTAATGTATATAAACCCTGTAATATCTGTTTGACAATGGGATGAGATTCTTGGGAAGAAACAGTGTGTATAGGATTTGTTATTATTTACAAATTCTACTTTACCAAGCACAAAATTATAGACATTACATAGGATTTTTTGTAGGGCCTAAGAAGATCAGTCTATCTGGCCTTACTCTAGAAGATGTGAGATGCTGAGTGGATTTATGGCATTCTGATGTTGATGCTTTTGATCATGTGGTCACTGAATATTATTGATTTTAAGCTGTAGTTTTCAAATTTTGCCCATTCATGAATTACCTTCAAGATTTTGTCTATATCTTGTTATAGTGTCCATTATTTGCTGGACACTTTCTTTAAAATAACTTAATTTTTAACTCGTGTTCAAAAGACACCTCATTTCTACTGTTGTTATTATATACTCAATTTCTTATTAAATATATCTGCTTTTTTAAACCTGAAGTTTAATCTTCACGTTTTAAAAAGTCAATTTTATAAAGTATTGCTTTATCACTTTTTAAAGTAAACATTTTATTTTACTAGTTAGATTTCTGTACTGCACACTAAAAATATACACATTTTAAATAAAAAAAATTAGGACATGAAAGCCTATCCTGGTCCTGCCCAGAGTCACTTTGCACATGAGAGTCAGAGCTGAGCCAAACTCTGAAGGCAAGTGGCTAAAAATGAAAATGGGCACTGACTAAACAAGTGACCCGTGAAGGGTGCCAGTCTGCCACTGCTGACCCAGAGTTTCCTGTGAGAGCTGGCCACGGGTTTGTTCCAGCCACACACGACTGTGCCACTCAGACCTGCCATTCAGCTAAAGAGGCGCCACGTGGTGTTCACTCTCTTTTTTAAAAAAATATTGCTTGGGTTCCCGCTTGAGTTTTCCTTATTAAGGGAGGGTGACCTCCACTGTGTCAGCTTGTAAGGGTGCTGGCGGTAATGAATTTGTTATTTTGTGTGCCACTCACTCCAAATTGGATTCTGCATTATGCTAGTGCATATATGTGAAACGGTGACCAATTGAAATTCAAATGTAATGAGGATGAAGCTTTTCCATTCTGCATAGCCCCTTTTGTTTTCGTCCCTAGTGGGTTCTTTCCCCACCACAATGCAGCTTTCCTCCTGGCTTCTGAAATCACCATGTCTAACTGGATAGGACCAACATGTTTTCTTACCCATTCCAGAAATGAAATACAAGTTGTTCTGGTTTTCTAATTTAAAAAAAAAAAAAAAAATTTTTTTTTTTAAAATGGGCTAAGAGATTTGGATTTGCAGACTTGAGAAAAACAAAGTATTCTTTCTAAAACATGCAAATGTGTCTCTCCATCACCTAGGAAACTATTATGGGACACCCAAACCTCCTAGCCAGCCAGTCAGTGGGAAAGTGATCACGACGGATGCCTTGCAAAGCCTTCACTCTGGCTCCAAGCAGTCAACCCCAAAGCGAACCAAGTCCTACAATGATATGCAAAATGCTGGCATAGTCCACGCGGAGAATGAGGAAGAGGATGATGTTCCTGAAATGAACAGTAGCTTTACAGGTAAAGACCAGATGATGCTCCCCCTCAGCGGACTTGGGGAAGGAGGGAGGAGGGAGGATTTACAAGGAGTTGTGAGGAGGTTTTTGTTCTCAGGAAGAATTTGGAAGGATCACTAAAATTCAAACTCTGGCCACTCTGGCCACTCTGGCCACTCTGGCTTATGGAAGAGATGGTCTTTTATTTTTTTCCTGTGCCCAGAATTTTTTTTTTCTTTTTAAAATTTTATTAAATTTTTTAATTGAAGGATAATTGCTTTACAGAATTTTGTTGTTTTCTGTCAAACATCAACATGAATCAGCCATAGGTATACGTATATCTCCTTCCTCTTAAACCTCCTGCCATCTCCCTTATTTTTAAACTTTTCATTTTTAATTGAAAGGTAATTGCTTTGCAATATGGTTTTGGTTACTGCCGTACATTAATGTAAATCAGCCATAGGTATACATGTGTCCCCTCCCTTTTGAACGTCCCTCCCACTTCCCACCCCATTCATCCCTCTAGGTGGTCAGAGCACTGGTTTGGGCTCCCTGAGTCATGCAGAAAATCCCCATGGGCAATCTGTTTTACGTGTTAGTGTGTATGTTTTCACACCACTCTCTCCATTCGTCCCACCCTCCCCTTCCCGCACTGTGTCCACAAGTCTGTTCTCTGTGTCTGAGTCTCCACTGCTGCCCTGCAAATAGGTTCATCAGTACCATCTTTCTAGATTCCATATATATGCATTAATATACGATAGTTGTGTTTCTTTCTGACTTACTTCACTCTGTATAATAGCTGATCTTTTCCCTGGTCTGTTTTTCATGCTTCTTGTCAAGAGTCTTTTAACTTCACCCAGCTATCTTAAAGGGACAGGAGGGAAGTGTTTGTAGAAGGAAATAAAAAATAATCGGCATCCTTCAGAGTTTCCGTAGTGTAGTGGTTATCATGTTTGCCTCACATGCGAAAGGTCCCCAGTTTGGAACCGGGCGGAAACAAAAAAAATAATCGGCATCTTCAAATTGATACCTATAAGAATCACTATTTTGTTCATTTATTACTTGGCCTTGACACTGCTCCATAATTATGGATGATTGTTTATAAAGAGAAATAGGAGAATCTGTTTAATATCACTTTATGCTATATGGAATGCATCCTTTTATCTCATACCTTTGTAAATAGAGATACAGTAGAAATAAATCATGTTTTCAGTTAATTAATGCAAAGTTTACTACATTCCCTAAGAAATAAAAGATGGAAAAATAATAAATATTCTAAGATTATATTTTCTATATGTATTTTATATTGCATAGCATATATTACTCATTGCAGTATAGTTTTTAATATACAGTCAGAGCTATCTATGCTCAAGCTTAGTAGGCTATATTTTATGAAAGGATCTTCAAAGACGAACCCTCTGCATAAAGCTATGCAGATTAGGACGTGCACATTCCTAGGAGGCACTGTTCACTGAGGCCATGATATATGCTCTATAGGTTAGCACAGTGACCCAGAATGGTTCAATAGTATATTTGGCTTTGTGGGGGTTTAATATATAGAGTAACTCAAAATTTAACAGCTCCATAAGGCATGAGTTACTCCAGTCTATAAGGATGTGACTTTAAAAGACCATCTTGTTTCTTCTGTTTTTCCTGTACTTAATTTCTTTTGATATTTTAGAGTATTTTCCTTCTTGTGCTGTTAAGTCTTAACAGAGTCTTTCAGAAAAGCAGTTTCTATTAGTTGAGTGCTTTCTACTGCCTGTATGGACCTCTCTGAAGCTTTCTCATTCACTGAATTCAGAAGCCTAAAATTTTTGAAGTTAACAATTAAAAAAAAAGGTTTTGATGACTTATCATCATAACAGTTAGACCAGCCATTATGCAAGAAGCACTAGAGAAAGGAGGAGACCCAGTTTGCTACCCTAGCTTTGTTCTTGGTAGCTGTCTTGTTATGAAGTTAGTATCTAACTTCTCTAATTACTGGTTAGAATTCAATCACATCAGGTTCCCCCTTCCAGCCCTAAGGATTCAAGTTCATGAAAATTTGTATTTTCTTCATTAGGCTGGTCACTGACCTATTGTTAACAGTATCTAGGAGAAATTTACCTGTTTTTACTTAGGCATTTATTGAAATCAGCTAATTTCATCTACATCAAAATATTTTATCCATATATAGTAGTCGTCACCAAAAGGAAAGCACATTATGAAAAAAAAAAGGGTCTTGATCTTTCAACAAGTAAGAACAGCAAATCATGATATAACCCAAAAATATAGATGTGGGCATAGAAATATTAATAGACCTTGGGGATAACATGCAGTGAAACAGTTCTGCCAGGGTGACTGGATGGTCTCAAGAAGCTTGTGTACCTTTGTGTGTCCTCCTTGTCAGTACAAAGCATGAACAGAGCAGGGATAGCTGACTGTAGGTTTTGATGCTTCCTAATTTCTAACCACTATAAATCCCTGTTGTAGAAGTCACACCTCAGAAAATCTGACCTTGTAACACCCCTGTTTGAAATCCTGGTGTCAAAAAAAAAAAAAAAAAAATCTGGCCCCAGGTCATCATTGCTAAAGGCAGTGTGAACATTCATTTATGCACAAAGAAAGAAAACTGTTTGTCACCTGATCAGATGTACAGGGAGAGAATTGATCTTGAGATAGACAAGCAATTGGGCATCTTCAGTATGCAAGGGATATGTTGAATAAATGGCTCTTCACTTACCAGACTACAAGTATGACAGCTGACAAGCTGTCATACTCTCACTCATGTGAATTCTTTTGAAATAATTGCCACTACACAGTCTGTGAGATGTGTACCATGCCAGCTGTGTCAAAGCATCTTGCACTCTGAACCACTTGTAAGTAGCAGTCCAGTAGCCGCTTCGAGCACAGAGTGGCAGTAACATAATGAGGTCTTGGCTCCTGGTTGGGCCAATGGTGATGAAGGGTACCGGATTCAAATGTAGAAACACCATACAGCTATGTAAAATGATATTTACCTAGGGTGTTTTTTAATAATGGGCTACTGGTACGATTTCAGCCAACGTCTGCTTGGGTCTTTTGAAAGGGACACAGGATATCTAAATAACATGCCTAAATAATGTTGGCACTGTCTGCTGGCAGAGAGCAGGGTGCTTAAGGCCTGGAGCATCCTGGGAAGGTTGAGTCTTCCTTTCTGCAACCAGAGATGGAGGCAGGAGCTGAGTCATGGGCAGTCATCCCCGATTCTTACCATAGAACTTACTGTCGCACACAAGACAGAGGGAGAATCGTCTACAAATAATGCCCAAATTATAGATTTAAAGGAGGCCCTGGAGAGAGAATACTGTATGTGCTTCATGAAAGTAGATATAAGCTTAAATTGTTGGGCAAAACACAGTTATTTATATAAGTAAATGAAAACATTTTTTAAAAGATTTTGTTCACTGTAGAAAAACTTGGAAAATATATAACAAACCACCACAACTAAAAAGTAGTTGATGCATCCATCAACCATATCTAAGAGACACCAAAAATGTTATTTAATTTTCTTCCTAAGCTTGTTTTCTCAACAGCTTCCCTGTTGTTCAACATTAGGCTGCCAATGCTTCTTTTTCATTAGTGATTAATGATAAAATACTGCTTTGGAATGTCAAGAGATAACGATATTACCAAAAGAGTTAATGTTTCCCCAGTGCTCTGTGGCAGGCATTTTGCTAAGCTCTCATGCATATTACTGGGGAGTTCTAACTGCTTGTCCAGTATTACTCAACCAATGAGGGTCAAAGCTGTCATTTCAACCCAAAAATCCTGACTCCAGAATCTATATGGCTTTGTGTTTTAAGTCAAGTTTACTAGCCCTTTGCAGCATCAAAGGTTTTGACTGGTTATGTACATAGTGAGTGTACACATAAATCTAAATGCATGTGTAATTTAAAATAAGCTCCAGAATGTGTGTTTGACATGAGCTTATGTTCTCAAAGTCACCTTCAAAATCTCCCAAGAGTGTGTGTGTGTGATGTAAATACTGGGAAGCGTCTGCAAATGAAAATGTTTTTTGTGTTTTTTTATGGTTTATGAATCATTTTCACATGTATCTTATAAACCTTTTGAAAATTTTTGAGAAATAAGCAGTCTAACTATTATCTTCCCCATTTTGCAGACAGGAACCCTGAGAAATAGTGTTATCAATCCCACTAGGCAGTTGGAGCATGTAGCTTCTTATCTACTTGCCAGTCTCAGTATTCGAGTAATCCATTCTACCTGTCCTCTTTAGATGCATTGGCAATCTTTAGTAATAATTTAGTAATCTAATCTTTAGAGCGTGATAGCAGTGCTCTTAAATGTTCGGTAAATTAAATGAAAGAGTTTTTGAAGTCAGAGCGTGTGTTAAGGTCAAAGCTGTGATTAGGACTATGAATTTTTAAAATCTGCTCCTCTCTCTCATTTTTGGACTTCTCATTTTCTTTCAGAGAATGAGAATGTTTAAGGTTCTAGTGAAAAAAGAAACAGAAAACTAAATATATCAAGTCGTACGTGTTTAATATCTATGTTTCCCCCCCAAAAAAATTAACTAGATGGAAGGAATCCTTGGGTAACATTCACATATGTCAAATTGTCATGATGTTCATTTTAAATATCTTACAGTTTTGTCAATTATACCTCAATAAAGCTGAGAAATTAATATCTGTAACTTTTTATATGTCAGTTAATATGTAAATAAAGTGGTTTTAAAACAGGAAGACACTGAGAACCTATAAAATAAATATTTGGATAATTTAAAATAAGTCTCAAAAAAAAAAAAGGTCTCATTGCTAGAGGAATTTCTTTTTTCTCTAGGAAGTTACAATTTACATATATGTATTTCCAGTGAGCTAATATTCCCTTCATGTAGTCCAGATTTTGGAATGCTGGCAGGACTCTTTCTTCCTCTCCCTCCTCTCTTTTCTTCCCGGCATAAATTGTATACATTAGGTATTAAATCACATTGTTTCTCTTTTCACATGTAGTGACCTACCTATGGCTACCATCCCTTTCCTGTTACATCTAGTTTCTATTAAAATGGGTCAATTAAAATTTTTCAAACTCTTAAATGTTATATTAAGAGATGACCACTGACTTTGGCCCTGGGTGTTTCCTTTAGCCGGTCCTGATCCTGAGCTCTCTTGAGCACTCTGAGCACCAGGTACTTTGGCAGGTGCTTTGCATGTATTGAAAACATGTAATGAAAACATTCTTGTAGTGCATGTGTTATGCCCATTTTACAGATGAGGAAACAGGTACCCAGAAAGGTAAAGTCTCTTTCAAAGACACACAGCTAGAAACAGGCACACTGTGATTTGATCTGTGGTTTGATGTCTAATCCATCCTTTCCTGCCCATTTGTAATGAATCTATGGGCCAGCTCTGACCAGCAAGCAAAGATTAATCATAACTACTTTAATGAGGAAGATGAGGTTTATTGTATACTAAAATCTGTACTGAGTGCTTTATGTAGACTAATCCTCCCTACAACCTTATAAGGTAGGGACTGTTACTATTCCGACTGTAAAGATAAGGAAACTCAAGCACATAAAGGTTGAGTAAACCCAGTCAACGTAAAGCCAAGATTCAGACTTAGGCAGACTGACTGCACAGTCAGTGCTTATACTCACTACCTTTCTTTTTTTTTTTTTGCTTGTGCCAGACACACTGCTTTATTTTTTTAAGGAATTATGATTGGTAAATTGGTGATTTTTGCATCAAAATATAAACTTCCACCTTTTCTTAAAAGAGTCAGGGATCTGGAAACCCTGAGTCCACTTTTATCAGGATGCTAGTTGCCTGGCACTGAGTTCTCTGCTTCCTTCAGACAGGATGCAGTGTTCTGGATATCCATCATTTGTACCATGTGGCCGCACCATACTCTCACATGTTGCCAGCTGACAGAACCCATCCGAGAAACAAGATTCCAGTGATTTTTTTTTTTTAAGTACTTTTTGTATCTCAGTCTTCAAAATGTAATGCTTGTACTTGAATCTCCATCACCTGGGTGCCCTCAAAGTATATATTTTGAACCTAATTCCAAATCTATTCTCTGAAGTAGGGAGCCATGCCTGGAGGAGGGAATGGCATCCAGTTGCAGTATTCTTGCCTGAAGAATCCTGTAAACAGAGGAGCCTGGTGGGCTGCAGTCCATGGGGTCACAAAGAGTCAGACATGACTGAGAGACTTTGCACACATGCATGCTTTTAATTCTGGCCAACTTTGGAATCTTTGTTATTAATTACCAGTTTCAGGGGCTTTCCTGGTGGCTCAGCTGTCAAGTATCTGCCTACAGTGCAGGAGACACAGGAGACATGGGTTCAGTCCCTGGGTGGGGAAGATCCCCTGGAGGAGGGCATGGCAACCCACTCCAGTATTCTTGCCTGGATAATCTCAATGACAGAAGAGCCTGGTGGGCTACAGTCCTAGGGTTGCAGAGTCGATCAAGATTGAATCAAGTGAGCACGCATGCTCGTACCAGTTTCAAACTGTTTCTTTCATAGTGGCCTAATTTCTTCTTTTTTTCTTCTAACTTAAAATTTTACTAATCTCCACTCATGGGTGCAAATTTTAAAAGCAATTCAGATTGATTTAAGCAGGAAAGGGAGTTGAGGGAATCACGCAGTTGGAGAAGCCAGGAGTACATGTAATCCTATGAGAGGCTTCATCAGCGGTGTTGGGTGACTTTCCCATATTTCATCTGTACTTTCCTCTGTGTGGGTTTAGTTCTCAGATAAGCCTTGCCAAGGTTCTCAAGATGGCCATCAGCACCATCAGCATTCTCATCTCACAACATGAGAATCTACCAGCTTATTAATTTTAGCATCAAGAGGCTACCTCTTGCCTAATAGTTCCTCAAGCACTTGCAGGCTGAACAGTCTGTAGTTTGCCATGGATCGTGTGCCTGATCCAACCATAAAGGCATGAGTGAAATGAGTGTGACTTGAGCCCACTGCATGAGCTTGGAGTGGGCATCAGTCAGTCTCCACCTGGACCACATGAACCTCCGATGAAGGGGATGATTTCCAAATGGAGATCCGAGTGGTTGGTACCAGAAGAAGAGGGTATAGATGCAGGGCGGTAAAAGACCCCAGGCTTCCTTCTCAGAAGCAGTGGATTTTTGGTGGAGGTAATCATTTAATAGGCTTGACATGTCCTCCATCCAACTTTTGGATTGCCTTTATTCTCATGTGTGTCATTGGGAGCTACTCATCAGGGAAAGATTTGAAAGCAACCTTTTATTATTCCTCAGTTGGCTATGAGTAAATCAGAAATGTCTGTAGGAGAATTATTGTGGGAGACAGAAAATGACTACATCCCCTGATTAATGTTTTAAAGTCCCATAGAGATTGACATTTAATATCATCAGCCTCTATAAAAATTCAACCAGAATGTCAACAATGCCGTTTGTGGAAACTCTGATGACATCCCCTCTGGATATGTCTAGTTAATAAGAAGGCAAAGAGATTCAGAAACTTAGAGCCTTCAAGACCCAAGTCAAATCAGTCCACCCACAGGATACTCTTTGCGGGTAACTGTCTTGGTTTTCACAGGAACATTCTACTCACTTTTCCAAAAGAGGCTAGACTGACTCATTGGTGGAGCTGTCTCTGTGTTCTAAACCTTTGTAGACTTTTTAGTTTGATTTGTCAGTCTTTGATATTTGCCACCATCTACCAAAAATATTTTAGATAAATTTTTACAAATGGATGATAATGTCACTATCTCTGTGTTTTCAGCATGGACTTTTTCCTTGCCCCAGAAGTCCTTTTGAGTCATGAAGCCAAATGATAGCTAAGTAATGAGAGTTCAGCTCAGTCTGTGACTTGATGGCCTTCTTAAAGTTAGAGGGACTTGAGGGTTTGAGTCATGAATATGTTTTTTCTTTGACATTTCCAGGATTGTGAGTAATGCATTATTTGAGCATATTTTCTCCTTTTCTTCTTTTTCGGTAAAATAAATTTGGTTCATCACATCAGTTTTCTATTAAAAGAACTTTCATCTAAGTGAGACAGAATATAGTTGATGTCCTGCAATTAGGAAAGGATTTTAAGAACATAAATGTGCACAGTAGTGATCACCCTGGTTTAGAGTATGATTGATGAATTATTTTTTTTTTTTTTTCTCTCTGTCTCTCTGGTGAATAAATAGCCGATTCTGGTGACCAAGAAGAGCACAGTCTCCAAGAAGCAACGCTCCCACCTGTGAATAGTAGCATCATCGCTGCTCCCATCACGGACCCTTCTCAGAAGTTCCCTCAATACCTACCTCTTTCTGCAGAGGATAATTTAGGTCCTCTACCTGAAAACTGGGAGATGGCCTATACCGAAAATGGAGAAGTCTATTTTATAGAGTAAAGTACCATTATTTCTACTTGAATCTCTCCTCTTTTCCCCCCTATTTCCCTTCTCTTTCTCTAGCAGCTACAGATGTAAATTAACTCTAAAAGGATTGATCACATGCTGTTGGTCTTCTCTCCTACAATTTAACAAGCCTTGTACAAAAAAAGCAATTAGCATAACATCCTAACCATTGAATCTGAAGAGCTGGAAGAAGCATAAGGACAATTATTTCCCTAAAGAGTTAAACAACTAAATTACGGTGCATATATAAATTATATTATACATTAATATGAAGAATATATCTAGCTGCTTAGAATAGGTAAATCCTTTGCTTTTTTTTTCTTCTTAATTGGGTTACAGTTTCCTTTTGAGTGTTAAAGAGTTCTTCACATAGTTTTGATTCAGTTTGTTAATTACATTTTTAATTTGCAAACATTTTGTCCAAATTTGATTTTTCATTGTCTTAACTGCATCTTTTAAAGAGCCAGAAGTTCTTAATTTTTATGAACTCTAATCACTTTCTTTTTTCCTTTGTGAATTGTGTTTTTATTGTGGAACCTAAGAAACCTTTGCCTGACTCAAAGTAAAAATTCAGTCATTTTCTGCTATATTTGTTTTATAAGTTTTATAGCTTACATTTTACATTTTGGTATATGATCTATTTTTAGTTATTTTTTTTACATGGTGCAAGGCAGATGGGTTAAAGTTTGAGAATATGAAGATGTGAAAAGTCTTTTAAAATTAAAAACTTAAATATTATGTAATTAAACATTTAGCAACCTATACTGGGAAGGAAGAAAAATGTATAAAATTGAAACCATTCTAGAAAATCTAAGCTAATGTAATTTCTTAACCATGGCAGTCAATTTTTAAAATTCTTTGGCTCTCCTTTTGAGATTTCCTATTATCATTCACCATAGTATTATGAACCTGTAAAAAATAAAAACAAAAAGACCAATTAAACTATGAAATAATTCGAAACATAGATAAATCTGTTCTACTCAAATGGATTAATGTTGCAGGTCTGCTGTTCAGGGAACAATAACAGACATTTCTGAACAACATGAAGTATCATATTTTGTAAAATACATGGGTGTATACACTTATGTGCTGTGCTATGTGTATATTTTTTTTCTGTAAATATGTAGATATAATTCTATGTGAAGAAAAATTCCAGAAATATCTGTTAACACTTGAGTTTGAGTTAAGTAAGGAATTTAAGAAATTTATTTTCTTAACTACATTATAGCTTTCTGTGGGGTCTGAATACATATTACCACTTAGAAAGATATTCCAGCATACATTTTGTAATCAGAAAAATCAGCAAGGGTAAAAAAGTACTATTTTCCTAAAGATTTGGGAGTATGGGGGAAGGCTTGGGTGTCAAAACATCCTCTCTCAGAACTAACCTAGGAAATCAGAGATGAGTGAACTATTGCTCCTGGGTTATTTTCCAGCCTGAAGGAGATGACAGTCCACATTTTTGTCTTCATGTTAATGACAAATGCTTGTTGAAGACGGGTGGATGATGAAATCTTCCCCTTGGAGTTAGGAAAGTACACTGGTTAAGAACTCTCCAAAGCTCCTTATCTGTGTGACCTCGTGAACTTGAGTTTGCCTCTCCGCGTCTCAGTTTCCCCTATCTGTAGAAGGACATGAGTGTTATTGATCACGCCTACCCTGTCAGATTTTCGTGAGAGTTAGATAAAGGATGTAAAACTTGGACTCGTGCCAATTAGTGAGTATTATTGTTACTGTTACCATGTTTATTTTCATCATGTGGTTATTACAGAGGAGCTTAAATGTTATGAAAATGGATGTCAGCTATAAGCTTAGAATTTTGTACTTAGCTTTTGTGATAAGTTGTCCTCTAAATTATGCCTGTTAGTAAGGAATAATTTTATGTAGCAAAGGGAAATAACAGAGGAATTCCTAAAACAGAGTGATATATGAAACTCAAACTTTTGGAAAAGAATGTGTTAATAGTTTGCTCAAGACTGACTTGATAAATTTGAAAAAAAAATTGGGTTATTTTGAGGGTTAGTGAGGACTGTGGTTAGTAAAAATAGTTAATGAAGACCCAAGACTTTGAGTGCTTTAGAGGAGAGTATGGTGCTTTGCTTACTTTTTATAACCTAGTTTAGCTTTTAATCAGTGCTAGGCCAATCTTTGGTCTATTGTTTAATAGAAAATTTATGCAGAAGTATAGCTTATTATGACAACTCTGTGATTTGGTCGGCAGCGGCCAGATTCCATACACATTAAATTATTAGATGCACATGATTTAGACTTCCCTCATGGCTCAGTGATACAGACTCCACCTGCCAGTGCAGGATATGTAGGTTCGATCCCTGGGTTGGGAAAATTCCCTGTAGAAGGAACTAGCAACCCACTCCAATATTCTTGCCTGGGGAATTCCATGGACAGAGGAGCCTGCCAGGCTACAATCCAGGGGGTCACTAAAGAGACACAACTGAGCAACTAAACAATAACAGTATATTCTATTTGATGAGTTTTCCAGTATCCTGCATTCTGAAAAACTTCATCTTAGACTCTCTTACATTGAATAGCAAGTTAAATTTCTATAGACTCAGATCTACCTTGTTTTACTTATACACATGTAAGTCTATGTTAGCTTTACATTTTACGGGAAATCTAAGAAATACTGGAACATTAAAAATTAAGCATAAACTTGCAAACCCTGGAGATTGTACAGCAAATGAACATAAGACGTGAAAAGGAAATAAAAATAATGCAGATTGGCTAGAGAACTTGGGATCACAGAAATGACAGGTCGTAAGTTCCCTGAATTTTCTTTTTACCTCATATATCCTAGATTTAGAGCTGTAGAAGCCAGTAATCCAGAAACACTAACAAATTGACAACAAAAAGCAAAACCCTCATGAAAGGAAATAAAAGATACATAGACTGACTGTCTAACTGGAAAATCACCAGAAATATACATGAAGTTCTATAATAAATGAGTTCAGCAAAATAGAAGCTAATCATACAAATATCAGTTATATATCTATATACTAACAATGAGCAAGCAGATAACAAAATTCAAAATGAAATATAATTTACATGTACTTTTTAAAAAATTCACTTAGGTATAAACCTAATGAAATATGTACAGGATTTGTATTCTGTAAACTACAAAATGCTGATGAAAGAAATAAATGAAAGTTTAAGTAAATTGAGAGACCTACTCTATTCATGGATCGAAAGACTCAGAATTGGTATAGTAAAGATGTTCAGTTCTCCCCAAATGTGTGTACAGGTTTAATATAAATCCTGTCAAAAATCTCAGTGAAGCTTTTTGTTAGTATTGACATGTTTATTGTAAAATTTATTAGCAAAAGGCAAAGGAACTAGACTAGTTAAAACAGTTTTGAAAAGGAGAATAAAGTCACATTAATCAGTCTGCCCGATATCAGGCTTATTATAAATTTTCAGTCATAAAGGTTGAATGCTACTGATGAAGAAATAGACCCATAGATCAAAGGAACCCACAAACAAACCCACAAATGTGTCCAACTGATTTTCAGTAGAGAATGCAAAAGCAGTCCAATGCATGGAAGGTAACCTTTTCAATAAGATGGTACTTTAAGCTGGTCTATAGCCAAAGGCAAATAAATTAACCTGAAACTAAACCTCTTGCCTTATTAAAAAAAAACAAACAAACTCAAAATAAATCATCATAAAGTATAAAATGTAAAGTAATAGAATTTTTAGGGGGAAAAAAAGTAGAAATTCTTTGAGACCTAGTAGTAGGCAAGGGGTTCTCAGACTTGACATCAAAAGCATAATCCTAAAAGGAATAATTGGTCAACTCAGGTTTATCAAAATGAAAAAATTTCACTTTGCAAAGACTTGTAAGTAAATGAAAGGACAAACTATACACAGGGAAAAAGTTTTTATAAAGCTTGTATCTCAAAATGGACTGGTATCTAGAATATGTAAAAGTGAAGTCGCTCAGTTGTGTCTGATTCTTTGTGACCCCATGGATTGTAGCCTACTAGGCTTCTCCATCCATGGGATTTTCCAGGCAAGAGTACTGGAGTGGGTTGCCATTTCCTTCTCCAGGGGATCTTCCCGACCCAGGGATTGAACCCAGGTCTCCCACATTGTAGGCAGATACTTTTACCATCTGAGCCACTCTCAAAACTCAACAGTTAAAAAAAAAAAAAAATCCAATTAGAGAATGAACTAAAAAACACTAAATGATGGTAAAGATGCCAAGAGGCTATATCACTAACACGTTGCTGGTAGGTATGTAAAATTCTGTGGTGTTCCAAAAAGCAGTTTGGCATTTTTTTAAACTAAACATTTCAATTACCATAGAACCCAGCCATTGCACATTTGTCCAGAGAAGAGAATACTTTGTTGTGGTTGTTTAGTCACTAAGTTGTGTCTGACTCTTTTGCAACCCCATAAACTGTAGCCTGCCAGGCTCCTCTGTCCATGGGATTTTCCAGGCACGAATACTGGAGTGGGTTGGCATTTCCTTCTCCAGGGGATCTTTCCAAACTAGAGATCACACCCGTGTCTCCTACATTGACAGGCAGATTCTTTACCACTGGGGCATCTAGGAAACCCAAGTGAACACTTATATTCACATAAAAGCTTATGCATAATTGTTTATAGTAGTCAGTTCAGTCACTCAGTTGTGTCTGACTTTTTGCAACCCCATGAACTGCATGCAACACACCAGGTTTCCCTGTCCATCACCAACTCCTGGTGCTTGCTCAAACTCGTGTCCATCGAATCGGTGATGCCGTCCAACCGTCTTATCCTCTGTCGTCCGTTCTCCTCCTGCCTTCAGTCTTTCCCAGCAACAGGGTCTTTTCCCGTGAGTCAGTTCTTCACATCAGGTGGCCAAAGTATTGGAGCTTCAGTATCAGTCCTTTCAATGAATACTCAGCACTGATTTCCTTTAGAATTGACTGGTTTGATCTCCTTGCAGTTCAAGGGACTCTTTAAGAGTCTTCTTCAACACCACAGTTCAAAAGCATCAATTCTTTGGTGCTCAGCTTTCTTTATGGTCCAACTCACACATCCATACATGATTACTGGAAAAACGAGCTTTGACTAGACGAACCTTTGTCGGTAAAGTAATGTCTCTGCTTTTTAATATACTGTCTAGGTTGGTCATAGCTTTTCTTTCAAGGAGCAAGTGTCTTTTAATTTCATGGCTGCAGTCACCCTCTTCTTTGATTTTGGAGCCCAAGAAAATAAAGTCTCTCACTGTTTCCATTCTTTCTGCATCTATTTGCCATGAAGTGATGGGACCGGATACCATGATCTTTGTTTTTTGCATGTTGAGTTTTAAGCCAGCTTTTTCACTCTCCTGTTTCACTTTCATCAAGAGGCTCTTTAGTTTCTCATTGCTTTCTGCCATAAGGGTGGCATCATTTGCATGTCTGAGGTTATTGATATTTCTCCCAGCAATCTTGATTCCAGCTTGTGCTTCATCCAGCCTGGCATTTCGCATAATGTTCTCTGCATATAAATTAAATAAGCACAGTGACAGTATATAGTGTTGACTTACTCCTTTCCCAGTTTGGAACCAGTCCATTGTTCCATGTCCAATTCTAACTGTTGCTTCTTGTCCTGCATACAGATTTCTCAGGAGGAAGGTTAGGTGGTCTGGTATTCCCATCTCTCTAAGAATTTTCTGCAGTTTGTTGTGATCCCCACAGTCAAAGGCTTTAGCAGAGTCAGTGAAGCAGAAGTAGATGTTTTTCTGGAATTCTCTTACTTTTTCTATGATCCAGTGGATGTCGTTCCCTTCTCCAGGGGATCTTCCCAACCAGGGTTCGAACCCAGGTCTCCCATATTGCAGGTGGATTCTTTATCAGCTGAGCCACCAGGGAAGCCTGTTTATAATAGGTTTTCTTCTAAATAACCCAAAGCTAGAAGCCACCCAGGTGTCCTTCAGTGGTTAAACTGTAGTACATTCATGCCATGAAATACTACTGACAATAACAACAGTTACTGATGTATGCAACAATCTTGAGGAGAGTTATGCTGAATAAAAAATGCAAATCCCCAAAGATTAGATACCATGTGATTTCATTTATATAACATTTTTGGTATGACAAAAGTATGGAAATGGAGAACAGATTAGTGGTTGCCAGGGATTAGCAGTGGGTTTTTTTGTAGGTAAGGGTTGGAAGGGAACCAAGTGTGGCTATCAAAGGGCAACATGAGGGACCCTGTGATGATGGAAGTGTTCCATATATTGACTGTTTGGCTGTCAGTATCCCAGTTGTGACTTTGTACTATAGTTCTGCAAAATGTTACCTTTGGTGGTATCTTGGTAGGGTGAATGTAGGATCTCTCTTTGTTCATTCTTACAACTGCATGTGAATCTACAATTATCTTGAGATACAAGTGTTTTTTAAAATATCACACCTAATCTTCCCTCCCGTCATTCTCCATTTTTGCCCTCTTATTGGGTAAGAATAGCACAGACCATGGTTTCTAGTGTGGGACTCCTTGGATTTGATTCTATGTGTCAGCAGGGTGTCCTTTTCAGGTTTCTTCACATCTCTGTCCTCAGTTTTCTCATTTGGAAAATAGGGAGTAATCATTTTAATACTAATGATACTCCTCTCATAGGATTCTTGGTAGGGATTAAGTAAATTGTAATTTATATGTAAATGACAAAGCAGGTTAAGATAGTTTTAATTGGGCTTTTGGTTATTCTATAGGTCCTGCTTCATGATAAAGATAATAACTTCCTGGTGGTCCCCCAGCTCCCTGTCTCTTCCCCCTCAGCTTTCTTTGCTGACTGGACCCCATCTCGCAAGAGCTCTGTTTCTGCACAGTCTTTCCTGCAGGCATCTCAGCCAGGCCCTGGGTTATACCCTGTTTTTCTCTGGGCCAGTTATTTCTCTTCCTTCATCTCCAGGTCCAAACTGTTCTGAACACTGGTCTTGTATATTCTCCACATACCCTTCCCAGATATACCCTCCAGTTTCTTCTTCACTCCCCACCTTCCATCCCCCAACTACACTGGTGCTTAAAACCTTCAGAAAGTTCTCTTTGTTCTAAGGATAAAACCCCCAAATTCTTAGTGAAAGTGAAAGTCGCTCAGTCGTGTCTGACTCTTTGCAAACCCATGGACTATACAATCCATGGAATTCTCCAGGCCAGAATACTGGAGTGAGTAGCCTTTCCCTTCTCCAGGGGATCTTCCCAACCCAGGGATCGAACCCAGGTCTCCCGCATTGCAGGTGGACTTTTTACCAGCTGAGCCACAAGGGAAGCCCTAGAATACTAGAGTGGGTAGCCATCCCTTCTCCAGGGGATCTTCCTGACCCAGGAATCAAACCGCCGTCTCCTACACTACAGGCAGATTCTTTACCAGCTGAACTACATGCCTGCAAAAGCATGCATGACTCGCAAAATTAGGATAGGTTAGACAGGATAGTTCTACATGTACAAGTAAGTATTGTTTGTTGTGATACTTGTAGCAGTATTACCTTTCATTGGTTTTATTTTATTTGAACACATTTTAGACAGTGTTTGTAGGCTTTTGCATATTCTGTTTTTCACCTAAGCCTTAAGTTTTTCCCATCAATTAATAAGATTTGAATCTAGAATTAAAAACTGTGACAATTTTTTCAAAATACTTATTAGTACAACTTAAACTTAAGACTTTACTACCTACACTTGCGGAAAATTTTTTTTTCTGTGTTTCATTTTTGGTTTGCAGCTTGAACTCTTGGACTTGTAGCTCTTTGATCCTCTTATTTAGTTTGCATAAAATGGACTGATTGCTCAAGCAGAATTTTGTCCCAGATCTGCTTCAGGTCAATCAGCCCAGTCATTTGCCTCTCATTTCTCTCATGATCGAAGGGCAACAGTGTCTAATGAAACACTTCATCTCTGGTTGGGCTCGACCCTCCTGCAGGAAGTAGGGTTTCATGTCCAGCCTCTCCAAGCTTCTCCTTATTCCAGGGCTCTCTTTTGCCCTCAGTTGACTATTAGACAGTATCTTTGCTTTAGTGAAGAATAAATATTCAAGACTGTTTAAATCTTTTGTCATTGAGTTTTTACATTCCCCCCTTCCCACCCTTTCAAACATATTTCTTATTTCTGAATTTCAGCCACAACACAAAAACAACATCTTGGTTAGACCCTCGGTGCCTGAACAAGCAGCAGAAGCCTCTGGAAGAGTGTGAAGATGATGGTAAGGGGCTAAGAAAGTCTGAGTTTAAGTGGGCTTGTTCACACATGGAAATTTTATTTTATTTTTTATTCTTTTGCTGTACTGTGTGGCATGCGGGATCTTAGTTCACCAACCAGATTGAACCTGTGCCCCTTGCAGTGGCAGTTAATCCAGTTTCTAGTAAGTGCATTATGGTTTCCAAAAGCAGGAGAGAAATCTGTAAAATTGTTTTAGAAGAACAGTTTGTTTAAACATAAAGACATACTCAGCTCTCTATTAGAAACAGAACTGCAGCACAGTCAGGAAGGATTCAGATGTAGATGCAACCTAAGCCCTTCAGGAACTTGGAGAAAACTCTAGAAAGTCTCTAGGAATTTAGAAACCAAAAATGCTTTGGTCACTTACGTTCTGAACCGTAATCATATATTGTGACAGTGTTCGAGAAAAAAATACTAGAAACTTTTCTTGAAGTGTTCATGCTTCATAATTTGAGTATTTCTCCAGGTTTAGCATAAAGAAAGCAGATCTTATTATGTTTGGGGATCTCTGTGTGATTTAGAATGTATCCTAAATATGAGAAAGTACATTCTTCCACAGAAGAGGCTGAGGTGTTACCCTCAGCCCCACTCTTTCTGTTAATGTAACGAAAAAAGGTTCCGCTGTCAATAAAGTCTAATCCAAGGCTTTGTAATTTCTAGTTACTTTTGCAAAAGTGGAAAAGAAATTAAGGTTGAACAAGTGTGTTCATTTTTGATTTGCCCTAAGTTTTACCAAAATTGCTTTTTGACACGGACAAATTAAAAGGGAAATGGCTTGCTTTACTACTCATTATTCATTCCTAGCATTTGAATTAGTAGTATAATTATTGAATATACATTTTACTGGAAGTTAGTGAAACTTTATTAATTTATTCTATGAGGCAGAATTATTGTCTGTTTAAACTTGATGTTTGTTTGAAAATATAAGCCAGTGAAATATGATCCTGTGAGAGCTTTAAACTACAGGATATATATGGATTGTAAGATTGCATGAAATGAACATAGGATTGTGTGTTCATGTTTATCTGAGTAACTTCAAGTGGAAATACAAATCCTTCTGACTGAGGAGGCATAACTGAGAGACTCATTTTATTTTGATTGCTTAGTCATAAAGAAGAAAAGAAACAGGCATGGGCAAATGCATTATTTTGCATCCTTAAGGATAATGGGCTATCATGATTATTCACATATTCTATTTAATATGTGATACAGAAGTGACCAGTTTTCAAAGATAAGAACATAAAATACATCCAACCATAAAACTTCTTGGAACGGAATGTAATCTTCATTTGATGCCTGAGATTTCAAAGCTATTTTAGGCCCTCTTATTACCATCAGATCTTCACTTTCACTATCCATTATAATTATAGTAGGAATGTATGAAAATGCCTGTTAGTATAATTTGATAGATAATAGAAGACTCCAATAACTTTTACTGTGAAAAATGGAGTGAAAGTGTTGATAGAATTACTGAAATTTTTTTTTAGCCATTCTAATAATTTTTAATTCTTAGAGTTCATGTCACTGGAGTGAACATTATTCCCTTTGGGACAAGTATGTATTCATATGCAATGCAGTTCACTTAGTGATTGTCGCTTCACCATTAGAATTCATATGTTCTTTTTCTGGTGGAAACTATATGTATGTCCGTATGCCTGTAAAACCACAAATGGTTTAAGTATATACAAGCAGATTCTACCACAGTGGCAAGTATCTGTATCTGCCTTTTCTCCTGCCAATTACCATAACACTCTCTTGTGCTGTTTATATCACGTCACAAAGAAGAGTCACATTGTTCTTTTACAATACTGTTCCTGTGTGAGTTTCTGCTCTCTCTAGGTCACATGCATGTTGAATGTAACAGTATAACATTATTGTAGAAATTTTTCTGTTTTCTTTTTCCTATCTCAAAAAAGCAGAAACTAATTTGGGATTTTGATATTCAGCGTATAACCCTTATTGTGATTTCTGAGTTTTAGTAGTTCAGTTAGATTTCTCCCTTGTTTGTGAGCTCCAGGCCAGTATTATAATATTTAATAATGCTTTTTGTCCTAAAGAGAGTTTAGATTCATTCTGATTAAAACCCAACTAATGATTCCCATTAACCCAAATCTGGTCTTCTAAAAGTATTCCCTGTCTAAGTGAACGGTAAATTCTTGCATACTTAAGAGTCTCTCTTGACCTTTTATTTTTCTTAACACGCATTTCTAATCCATTTGCTACCAGCTGAGTTCACCTTGCCTCCCAGATATCTTTGGAATTCATTCTCCATTTTCCTCACCATGTATACCATCCTAGTCAAGGTCATGCCCATCTTCCACCCACACTCTTGCCCACTCTCCTTCTTGCACTGTATTAAGAGCAGTCTGTTAAAATGTGTTTGCGTTATCACCACTGCCTCAAGCCCTGTTTAATATTGTAGCTCTCTGGTCTGTTGAGTGAATGCCAGGTTCAAAGCTTGTCTTTCCAAGTTCTCTGCAGTTCACCCTCTGAGCTTGTCTGACTCTACTTCCATCACACATTCTGTCCATCACCCCCAGTCCTCATTGAGTTCCTGCTCTGTGATAGTTAGATGTGCAGTTCTCCCTTCTTAGAATGTTCTTACATTCCACAAATAATTGTTGAATGTTTTTTGTATGTCAGGTGCATTCTGGGAAAGTCAGTTGTATCATTGAACACAATAAACAAGAAGCCCCACTCTAGCCAAACTTAAATTCTAGCCATTTTTCACTCTAACTCTTTTCATTAAATTTTACATAATGTTCAGATGATGGCTCAGGGACTTGCACATAGTAAATCTCATTAAAGAATTTTTAAGGGAATGAATGAGTGCCCCAAAAGATATTTTAAATAATATCCTAATGGGCATTTTCATGAAAGATTTTATGTAAATAAGATTCCCTCCTTAGGGAACCAGTGCCAGTGTCAACCTTATTACTTTATTGTTGGCAGTTGGTGACTAAAGTCAATAATCAATTCATTTGTCTGTTTTCTCATCCATTTGAGAAATATTTGGTACCTGTTACATATCCAAAGCTCCAGTGGGCACTGAGCACTGAAGTAGTGAAAGCGGACTTGATCCCTGTGTTTGTTTAGCTTATGGTGGAGGGGACAACCATATCTGTGTATGAAGTGATTTGTTGTATGGTGTCCTATATTCTCTTTGCAGTCATAACAAATGTTTAACTGACAGCAAGAGGTGGTCAGGAGTGAAAAGGATCTTGACTTGTTTTGCTTACTGAAATTACAGAGAACATTTTCATTCTAATATTTCTGAGCCGCTTGACTTAGAAATCCTAAACAAAGTAAACTCTGCTTCCCAATCGTCCTTTCAGGGCAGCCTTCAAGCCTCACCTCCCGATGTACATCATCCTGACATAGTTCATTTTTCTAACTCCTTTTGAAAGACAGTGTAGCTTATCTTAGAATCTGTGTTCTCAGTTTGACCTCACCTTCCGTTTTTCAGGCAGCAGTATTACTTATAGGTTAAGTAATTTTTTAATTGTGAGTGTAATTGCCTTGCAGATTAGAGGATCATAGAAGGATTAAAAGGACTAATATTGAAAGGTCTAGCAGCTTTGTTTGCTCGAAATAAGGTCTGTAATAAGTGACTTTCCAAGTAAGAACACCAAAAACCGCAAAGGTGTTTGTCATCTTTTACAACCAATCAAACCTTATTTTGACACACAAGGAAATGAGCCATGTAATTATGTTGCCAATATCAGCTCTTCCCGTTTTGTGATTTACACTGAGGTCTGAGTTGAGTAGCCAAGCCAATGAAATAAGCCACAATGCAGGTAAGGACATAATAAAGTGATGTGTTTGCTGTTTTTCTTGAAGGGAGTTTCTTTCCTTGGTGCTGGTGTCTGAATTTTTCTTTCTCTCTTTTCTGTCTCATTCCTGCTATTCCTTTGGAGAAGAAGGGATCCATACGGAGGAGCTGGACAGTGAACTAGGTAAACTCTCCCAGCCTGCATGACTTGCTCTGGGTGCTTTGGTTTCCAGTGACTTGCTTAATCCCTGTGTTTCTTTAGTTTGCACTTCTTCAATTATGATTTTCATTTTGGCTTAGCCACAAAAGGTCAGTCGTATACAACCCATGTGTCTGACTGCAGACATCATACATAGTTGTGATAAATTGTGTCTACAAAGAAAAAGTCTGAGGGAATTGGGACTAGAATGAGAGTTAGCAGATCAGTACTCTCATAAATTAAGGATTAAGAGAAAACTGAGGGATAGATGCTTGCCATGTCCCCTGAACTCTCCTATAGTCTATCTCGGTCTCAATTCTTTATTTGATATGAGTGGTTTTCTCCATTGGGAATATAGAAAAGAGAAACAAACAAAAATCTACCAGACTAATTGAAAGATCGTAGGGAGAGTAACAGCAGTACAACAGTTCCACTGGTAACTGAATGGTTGCTAAGTCCTAGTATTATATTGTTCGTCATAGGCTACTTGTTGACTTTGTAACTGTAGTGAATGGCTTGAAAACCAGATGCCGGGTTTCTGTGTTATTTTCCTCTGAATGTGTATGTCAGTAGAAATCAAGTCTTGATTACTCTGAGTTCTTGCAGTTTGGGAATAATTTACATTAGCTGATAATGCCAAAGTCTTTTATCTTTGCTGTTGGAACATATTGAATTATGTTCCGTGGTAAGTTAAATGTTTAATGTTCATCTTTGAACAGTATTAAAATTAGTTTGCTTTCCATCTGATGCATCTATGAAACCATAGATGGGAAAGCACAAGTTTTGGCTAAATTGCACTTGAAAGCCTTGGCTGATTGAAAATTGACAATAATATATTTTTAAATCAAGATTATTTAACATCAATATGAATAGAACTGCCCTGAGATTATTCAATCAGACTAGCATTTTTAAGTTTGCCTTAAAAACTGATAATATAAATATTTAATGCAGATTATTGGTTTTTGTTCAGTTTTATTTGTTTTTATTATCTAAGTAAAGATGATTTATCATGGTTGGCTCAGGATATAAGAGAATCTTGCTCTATTTTTGTTAATGTTTGGAATATATCTTGTTGTTATTGGTGGATATGTCAGCAGTGGTCAATAACTGTTGAAAGATATATTTTTAAAGACATACAGTAAGTTGTCATTGTGGTAGGAATGATTTGAGATTCGGCCTGTGTAATAGAAAAATTAGAAACTCATTTTGTAAATTAAAAAATATGTTAATCTATTGACATTAGTGATTGTTGAAAAAGACAGAACTAGGTTTTCCAGATGAAAAACGAGTGCCTCAATCCTTTGTGGAACCAATTTAAACTACTCTGTGTGTGTGCTCAGTCATGTCTGACTCTTTGCAACTCCATGGACTCTAGCCCCTGGCCACCTGACTAATGTGTGTGAGTGCCCAACACCACGTGTAGCTGGCTGGTGAGATAATTCCCCTGTGCACAGGGGTACAGCCTTATTTGCTTCTATAGAAGCTTGAATGTTGAAATTTTTAGGGAAAAATCAATTGTCCTCTTTTTTGGTGTACCTGTAACATTGTGGAAACATTCCTGTGCTGTTAAAGACTCTGCAAAGTAAGTTTTACTGGCTGCATAGTATCCCTTTTCATGATCAGATTCACAGTTCTGGGAGATGGTTTGATAAAGCGGAAGCTGTCTCTGGGGTCAAGGCACATTGCCTGGCTTCATTTCTGGGCTCTCCCACTTACTGACTCTGTGACCTTGCGGAAGTCATTCACCTTCTCTTAGCTTCCTGTTCCTAACCTAAGACGAGCTCCCATGGGGCTTAAGAGAAGACTTAATGATATTGTATCTTAATATATATTTGTCCCTGTGATCACATTGTTTTTGCCAATTTTCTGATTTATTAACCAGTTCTTCCCTGTTGGACATTTTGGTTCTTCCTTGTGTTTAATATGGGACAGGAGAGCAACATGTATACTACAGAGTTGGCCCAAATGTGTCCTTGTGCTTAGAGACAGGACTCCCTGGTTTTTGTCTGTATGTGTCCTCTGTATAAAGAGTTGTGTACATTTTCTTAATAAGAGGATCCTAATTTCAGACAATAGCAACTGTCAGGGTTTTCATTGAAAAATATGATTCTAGATGTGACAAGGACACCCTCTCTATAATCTGCCCCTGAGAAGTAGGGGTGGTGGGTTTGGGTGTTGGACCTTCATCATTTGCTTACAGAGTTGTCTTTTCTGAGCTGTGTTGTTTGTGCTGAATCGGTAGCTCCATTACACACTTTGGGTTTGCAGAATATATCACATCTTCTGCAGTAAACTCCCCAGAATCAAAAAGCACTTGAAGAAGCTTCTTTTTGAATTGCAGAGTATTCATGTGCTGCAGCCAATTAGGAGGCAGAGACAGAGAAATGAGGTCCCCTCCCAGCCAACACTGAATCACAGTTTAGAAATTTATCTCTGTTTGTGAACATGACTTTTAATCTGTGTGTTGACAAAACTCTGGGAACATTTGTCTGCTCCATATTTGCTTCCATGGTGATGATTAGTACCACGTGAATTTTTTAGTGGTAGGAACAGCAAGCTAACAGGCCATGTGGATCTGTCCTACTTCTTTTGGGCTTTCTTAAAATTGCCATTAGCTAAGCTTAGGTGCCAGGTACTATGTAAAAGGTTTTCAAACTTTATTTAATCTACATTTGACCTTCGAGGTAAATCTAGGGGAGAGGTGTGGTTTCAAGGTTTGTAAGTAGCTGAACACGAGGCAGATAAAAACCAGTATGGCTAAGGTTCATACCTTAGATCTGGACAACCCCAAAAGGGTCTTCACCACCTTCAGTCCCAGTGACATCTTGTCCAGACTGGTCTGAGGTCTGACAGTTGTTAGACACGAGGGTATGGCTCTCTTAAGTACCTTTAGAGTAAGAAAAAAAATTCAATGTCATCATTTTCTAGGCTTCAGTGTTTTCTGCCATTTTCAACTTTTTAGAACCAAATGGCACACTGCGAGACAAATCGATGACCAATTTCTATTTTAAGCTTTCGGAAATGAATTCCTATTATTAAGTTAATCACCGCATTGGAAGTGAGATATCTATCTTTTCAATGTTAAATGAGTTTTATCTTGAGAAACTGGACCATTTCTGGAGTTTGTTCATCTGTCCCAGAAGATCAAATGTCCAGAAATACCAGTTGACCAACCTTGTGTCTCAGCCCTAGTATGTAAGTTGTGGAGTAGGTGACATGGCTATGTCAAAGGTGGCTTCTTCTCTTGAAGCCCTCTTGGACCTCCGTCAGAGCACTCACTGTGCCGTATTTGAATTGTCTGCCCAAACGGTGCCCTTGTTATTCACTTTGTGTCCTTGGTGTCCAGCACTCAACAGATGTTTGACAAGTAATGGGATGAATTGAATTCTTAATTTTTTCCCTATGTTAGCCAAAGATGACCAGGCCATATATATCTTTTTAAGAACTCGGACCCTCTGCACTGGGAAGCAAAGTCTTAACCACTGGACTGCCAGGGAAGTCCCTAGGTCATATATTAAGGTTGACGAATTTGAAAAGAAGTTTGGTTCATTAAACAAGGTGCAGTCCCCTAATACCCACTCACTCTTCTGCCTGTGCCAGCACAAACATATGCCTGGGCACCAATTTGCATTTTTCTAATCTTCAGATTTCCCAGCTCTTTGGAAATATTTTTCCTGGTTTGTTTTCATTTAAATGGTAATTTCAAGCATTGTAAGGGGAAAGCATTTCCCAGGCATTTGATTTGCATCAGTTCACAAGACATTGGGTATAAAAAAGCCAAGTTGTGTCAACATCTGCACATTGGACCTGCCTTGCATTTTAGTAGCTATGTCTCCCAGTATTCAAAGACTTCTTTAAAACCTGCTAAGTGTTCCCCACCCCCATGAAGAAAGAGGGAGGGGAAAACATGTCTCTGTTTGCAAACAAATAACATGTGGAGCAAAAACCATAAAATTAATGTCTCTTGATGTGCAGCCAAATCTGAGCAGAATGTAAACTTTGAGTAATTAGCCTGTGTGTGTGTCTGCACGTGTGTGTACGTGCATGCACATGACTCCATTTTAGTGTAGAACTGTTTGTGTCTTATGGAAAACCTAAGCCCTGATGAAATGGTCACTATTTTCAAATGGTGACCACAAAATCATTGATTTTTTTTTTTGAAGTCTTTTTTTTTCAATCAAGTGTAATGTTCAAGTCAATCTTAACGTGGCCTTCTAGGAATAAAGGTTCACTTTGGAGTACAGCACTTTATACCACCTTGCCTTAACTATGCACAGAGCAGGGTGGCTTTGAAATTAAGTTGAGAATTGCAGTTCTGCCTGAAGAATTGTCTAGTGACACAAAATACAACACAGTTGCTCTTTCACCCAGTTATCTGGTGCAGTGGACTTTAGGAAATAGGCACTTGTTATGACAGAACCCTCTGTTACCTCGTTAACAAAGTAGCAACTTTTGATGTGAAACTTTTATGAAGTGAAGTTCAGTAGAGCACAGATGAGTTTTCGGAAAGGCGTGTCTATTCGTTTTCGGAAAGGCGTGTCTATTCCCCAGTGCCGTTTTACCACTACACTTAAAGGAATGAAGTCTACCCAGTTATGTGGAGTTTTTGGAGAGCAGGACCGATGTTTCTGCTTTCATAGGCACAGCCTGGTGAAGATTTGGGCCTGTCCAGATGTAGCCAGTTGAGTGATAGGTATGTACAACTCAAGAACTCAACTCCAGGTGGGCATTTTTATTTACTTGGTAGCATTTTGATTAGGAACAAGGAGAAAATTAGATGCAAATTTTAATGTATTCTAGGGAGAACAAAAATGGGACTTGAAAATTAAAAGGAACATTTATTTTCATCCATTTTTGCTTGTGCGGTAAGGCAGTCTCGCAATAGAATGAGAACACTGTAGATATTTAGTATGGGAACCAGGCATTCAAGGCAAAATTTAAATATATTTTCATTAAAATCTAATTTAATAGTTGATTTAGAATGACGGCACCTAAGGCTGCATTATATTAAGTTTCATTTGCTTATACAAAATATCAGTAAACAATTGCTCTTTGTGTAGAAAAACACTGATAAAATAATGCTCACTTTTTAATTGGACTTTAGACAGTGTTTTTATTTGGACTTTGATTGGACTTTAGACAGTATTTTTGTGACTCTTTTTTTTTTTTTGGCCTGAATTGGTTGTTAAAAATCTCTAGGCTCTTCAGGAATATCTTCTTCTTGCTCTGAATGTTCTTTTATTTTTCAGAACTGCCTGCTGGTTGGGAAAAGATTGAAGACCCTGTCTATGGTATCTACTATGTAGAGTAAGTGCCTGTTAAGACACATTTTAGTTTGCATTCTTCTGTAATTATGTACATTTATGCTGAATAGAATTTGCCATTGTGATAAGGTAAAAACAAGTAGTAATAGTAACATTATATTAATTTTAAAATGAAAAAATAGTTTAATGAATAAGAAAATATTCAGCAAATCTGATGATGATATATAATAAAATCCCTGAGGGCAACATGTCTCCTGTTTACTATGGTATTGCCAGAGCCAAATATAGTCCTGGTCTATGGCAGGTACTTAATAATAGGTATTATTTAAATGAATGCAAAAAGCAACTATTCAATAGACCATTTGAGTATGAGTTGTTTATCTTCAGGAAGAGGATCAGTTTTGCCTATTATTTTGCCCTGCTCAGGTCTGAGATTCTCAGTGATAGCGTATTTATTCATTTAAACTTTCTAAATTCTCCAGTACCAGAAGGTAGCCATTCCCTTCTCCAGGGGATCTTCCCAACCCAGGGATCGAACCCAGGTCTTCCGCATTGCAGGTGGATTCTTTAGCAACTGAACCTCCAGGAAAGCTGTTAAAAAATAAAGCCTGGCTTGAAGAAAGATAAAGATCATTACAGTATACTAACACATATATATGGAATTTAGAAGATAGTAACGATAACCCTATATGCAAAACAGAAAAAGAGACACAGGTGTATAGAACAGACTTTTGGACTCTGTGGGAGAAGGCGAGGGTGGGATGTTTCAAGAGAACAGCATCGAAACATGTATATTATCTAGGGTGAAACAGATCACCAGCCCAGGTTGGGTGCATGAGACAAGTGCTCGGGCCTGGTGCACTGGGAAGACCCAGAGGGATCGGGTGGAGAGGGAGGTGGGAGGGGGGATCGGGATGGGGAATACATGTAAATCCATGGCTAATTCATGTCAATGTATGACAAAAACCACTGCAATGATGTAAAGTAATTAGCCTCCAACTAATAAAAATAAATGAAAAAGAAAAAAAATAAATAAAGCCTGGCTTGAAAACAGTATTTTGAGTTCTAAATGATCACAAAGTAGGAATATTTCTAAACTTCTTATGAAATATGATTTTGATGAAGTAAAAAAGATGAGAATATGTATAGGCTTGTATATATATGTGTTGATGTAATATGTGTATATATACATATACACATACCATAATTGTTCTTTAGTTGCTCAGTTGTGTCTGACTCTTTTGTGTCCACATGGACTGTAACCTGCCAGGCTCCTCTGTCCATGGGATTTCCCAGGCAAGAATAGTGGTGTAGGTTGCCATGTCCTTCTCCAGGGGATCTTTCTGACCCAGGGATCAAGCCCAGGTCTCCTGCATTGGCAGATGAATTCTTTACTGCTGAGCCAACAGGGAAGCCTACATAGGCATACACTGAATAACAATGGCAAAAAAAATAATGCTTTGGATTCATATATATGTTTGTATGTATATATGTGTGTATTTTTATGTTTCCTTGGCCTTATTCGTTTTGGAGCCATCTGAAGTATCTGGGTCTTTGTCACTTTGAACACATTACATTTGCTTAGGTTAGCTGCATTTGGAATCTTTTTGCCTAGGGCTTACACTTTGAATCCTGACTCCATGCCTGTTGATCAAAAGTTGACAGATGTTGGTAGAGTCCTTCTTTTAACTTGATCTTTAGGGGGCAGGGTGCTTATGGTTCCATAAACTGTATTATAGAAAGTTACACACAGTTTCTGGCATTACATGTTACAGACAACACCACATCTCCACTTTCAACTCCATTTTAAAATAATTCTATAACTGACTTCTTGTTAAATTAAAGAAACATTCTTTGTCATGTGATTCTTTGGGCATTTGGGAGAATTGGTGGTTACAGTCCTGGGACTTGAAAGCTGGCCATGCTGAGCTTGAAGCCTCCTTAGTGTTGACTAGCTCTGTTCTGTTAGGTCAGCTGGTACTTAACTGCTCAGAAATTTATTTTCCTTATCCACAAAATAACAACAACAATAGGGACCTTCATCTTGGCATTTACTGAAGATTTTTAAAATAAATCACATGTAAAATTGGTTGTACAACACTTGATACAGATAAGCAGTCAGTATGTGGAAACCATTCATTTTCATTTTTATTGTATCTTCCTAACTGTGGTTTTTTACACAACATGCTCAACCACCTGCTTTGTGCAGGTCCAATCAAGGGAACTTGGCCTGATTGGCATTTTGCTTGTGGGACAAAATGTTTCCTAACTGAGTGCGATATGCCTTCTGCTCCAGCCACATCAACAGGAAGACACAGTATGAGAACCCGGTTCTAGAAGCCAAACGGAAGAAGCAGTTGGAGCAGCAGCAGCAGCAGCAGCAGCAGCCAGAAGGTTGGCTTTTCCTCTCTCTGTGGGCCCGGAGCGCCAGGCGAAGCCTGGGCACTGACACCCCCGTGTGGTCAAAAGTGGCCGCGAGAATCACGTCCTGTGTGGTGCTAGGAACTCAGTGTCCTGGAAGCCTGGGGAGTGATGCACAACCTCTGCTAGAGTCCACACCGTGAACGCAGACAGCTAAAGTGGGGGCCCAGTTTAAAAGCACCCAATCTCCACTATTACTTAGAAAGGGGCTGGTGTTAGATTGGAGAACATTTCTGATGGTGACAGAATTCCCTTGTTCCGGGAGCTTTTGCACAGCACGTGGTATCTAAATCTAAACCACTGCTAGTTCTTTAAGAAGATGTGCAGGGTATGGAACTAACTTTTAATTGTAGACATGTAGGCATCAGAAAAACCTGGTAATTTTCAGTGCTCTTAAAAAATTAAAAGTTACTTCATGTTCTTCACAAAAACGTGAACAGTTCAGAAGTGGAGAACATTTACATCTCCCCTGCTGGTTCCCATTCTCTTCTCAGCAATAAGCAATGTGCAGAAGTTTTCTGGGGATGTACAAATATGCAAATTTTAACAAACACCAGGTCATAATTTATGTATATGAATACATTCTGTATTTACATACATATTAGTTTTATGACCTATTTTTCTCAGTTATTTCTTGCACATTTTCAAGGCTGCTTAATATAGATTTTGGATTTGGGATTTTTAATGACTGCATAATATTCCTTTTATTAATCTCTTTACTTCATTTAGCCCTCTGTTTATTAGCAGATGCTTAGATTTTTCTTCATTTTTCATTGCAGTCTTTAAAAATATTAGGTTTACTGCTCCTTCAATGTAAAATATGAATATAAAATTCAGTACTTCTCTTATTATATATTAAACTGAATAAATATAGACCACAGCATGGAGTTGGCAAACATTTTTTGTAAGTGATCAGATAATAAACACTTTCGGCTTTGTTATTCATACAGCGTCTATTATCTCTGCCCTTATGGTATGAAATATGTTATAGACTATAAACAAATGTATGTGGCTGAAACACTGAACACTGAAATTTGAGTGTCATGTAGTTTATATGTCAACAAAATATTCTTCTTAATCATTTAAAAATGTGTGAAAACATTCTTGCAAGCTTTATAAAAATAGGCACGGGGGCCAGTTTGGCCTGTAAGCCATAGACTGTATTTTAGAGAGTGTGTTTGTATGTATCTGTGTGTGTGCGTGCCTGCGCACACTCAGCTATTGAAAAGTTCTCCTTTCTACCTTAATCTCTTTTCTATTTAAAAATTTTTTTAAATATTTTCATGAATTTGGGGAATGAGAATGTACAATTGAAAAATGAGTGTAAAATTGACTATATATACACAATTGACTGTGTTAGCTTAGCTGGAAAGGTGAACTGGGGATAAATCTTAAGATTCATTCGAAGTGAGTTATTTCTTGGTCTTTAAAGTGAACAAGACTACACTTGGTTTGTACACTTAGACTAGTTAGGACTCAGGGATTTTAGTAATGGGTCCCCTTCGGGTTTGAGAGATGACAGGGGACAGCACCTTACCAAACTCCTGAAACCTACCTTTACTGCCTCAGCCAAGCAGACTTCAGCAGCCCAGCCAAGTCTCAGATGAATTAGAGAAGTTTCTGCCTTATTGGGCCTGCTTTAGTTTACTGTGTATCTTTTCTGATATTTTTTTACTTGATCTCACTTTGAACACTGCAGCCAGAGAGAACTGGAGATTTTATTGGTTGTTCTTTTATTGGTTTTTTCCCTGGCCTCAGAGGTCTTAGGAGAAAGAGACATAAACACACACACACAGGGAGGGACCTTAACATAGAGTGGGTGTGCTAAGTGGTGTCCTCTTCTGTGCAGCCCTATGGGCTGCAGCCTTCCAGGCTCCTCTGTCCATGGGGTTCTCCACACAGGAATACAGGAGCAGGTTGCCAGTGTCCTCCTCTAGGGGATCTTCCTAATCCAGGGATCGAGCCCACAGCTCTTATGTCTCCTGCATTGGCAGGAGGGTTCTTTACCACTAGTGCCACCTGGGAAGCCCTGTATAGAATAGCATCAGATACCAGTTTCTTTTCAAGTGAAGCTCTCTGCTTCTGGTTTTATTGGTTTGGATAGTTTTAAAATGAAGAAGGTGGCGAATCCTAAGTAAGGTGACCAGTGATTGGAAGGAAAACAGTAAACTGTTTCTTGTTTTTATTGTAGAATGGACAGAAGATCATTCATCGCTTGTGCCTCCTGCTATTCCAAACCACCCCCCGAGTAATCCGGAGCCAGCCAGAGAAGCTCCACTTCAGGGTAAAGTGTTTTTATAATTGCATCCTAGTTTGGCTCAAAAGTTTAATGTTTTTAAAGAAACTTTAAAACATGAAATCTGTGAATTCCTAGATTTTTCCAAAGGATTGTTCCAAGACAGTTCTTTGTTGTGGGGCTGACTTGTATATGTGGTAGGGAATGAGCAGTGTCCCCAGCCTCTACCCACTCAGTGCCAGGAGAAACCCTCTCCCAGTGTGAGAAACAAAACTGTCTCCAGATGTTGCCAAATGCTGCTGGGAGTGGGGGGTGGTGTGCAAAATCATGTTGAGTTGTGAACCCTAAATTTAGAGAACACACACATTTAATACTGTGTTAAATAAGATACATTGAAAATTCAGCACTACATGTTTCAAGATTCTAGTCAGTGTATTTGCTTTTGACTAAGATTTTCTTGTAAAATGGTTTGATATTACTGTGTTATACACTCTAACCTCTGTTCCTGTTGCAGTTTGGGCATTCATGCATGTTTTACAATGTTTCATTGGTTCTCACTTATTTACATTCACAAATAGTATGCATCCCTACTGAGATTCATTACAGAAAATTGGAAACTCAGAATCTTGCTACTTTCAGGCCTCATTGCTTTTAAAGGATAAAAAAGATTTGGGGATTTTTTTTCTTTAGCTTTTTTCTTTTAAATAAAAAAGTAAAAAAAAAAGTAGAATAAGCATCATATTTAATAATGTTGGGGAGTATGTTACAGAACCAATAAAAAGCTGTAAAATTTGTCTTTTCTTCTCTGTACATTTTTAAAGATATAAATGTGTTAGATATTAAAAGATAGGTAAGATACCCCTTTTCCCTAATTTTCATTCCTCCATTTTTATTTTCATAAGAAAAATTATTTCCCTTTCAGCTCATATTATCTTGAGATTGGTATTAATATCAACTTGTATAAAATAGTTTGATACCATTTAATGGTGATAATGTTTTTAATATAGACAAAACATAGAAGATAATGATATATAAATTAATATCAACAGGATTGGGGGCTCCTCTGTATTTTTAAAGTATAAAATTCCTTCTTCAGCTTCATGTTGTCTTATTTCCTTCTCTCATGATAAGTTAACTACACTAACTTTTTAGTTGCTTGAACCTCTTGTTAATTCCTTGAATCATCGAAACTGTGGACCACATCAGGGTCTTTGCATATGCTGTTCTCCGTTTGCAGCTGCCTTTTCCTCTCTTTGCTTTGCCAACTTTTGCTCATCTAAGGTTTTTGCTGGATTCTGTCCTATTCACTCTTCCCATGTCAAACTTCTCATTTATAGAATTTAACAGTTGGTAATTAGTGTTCATTGGAGTTCAGTTATCTGGCAAGTTTCCTCTTCAGACTTTAAATCCCATGGAGGTATGAGATTGTGTTTTGTTTTGTTTTTCCACTGTAGGATATCCTGAACTAGATCTCATCCTCTCTGCTAAATTTATTATTGTGTGAAATAACGTATGTACATCCGTGATAAACAGCCTGGCTTCCTTAAAGGCTTGTCTTAGAGATTAAATAAATTAGAGGTTTCACGTTTCAGATTCTGAGTGTCAAATGCTTTGTGCACCAACTGAGTTATGAGTCCAGACAGTATTGATCTGTATTAGGAACTTTATTTCAGATTCTTCGCTTTCTTTTTTTTTTCTCCTTTTCTTTAATCTTCTTGGGTCCCCTAGTGGTTGGGGTTTGGGAGAGGCTCACTGAACTCCCTGTGGGAAATAGTCCATTCTTGAAACTTTCTACTCTCTAGTCTCTGTATTGACTCTTGTCTTTCAAGCATAATCATAATCTTCAAAGTATAACCAATACCATAGAAGCCAGTTTAAATCCACACTCTTTGACTCCAAGCTACAGTTGTGAGAAACATTAAGTTGGGCTTTATCACCATAGGTTACAACTCTGAGTTCCCTGTGTGCCTGTTAAGTATCCTGGTCTATGTTCCTGACAGTACTCTCAGGAAGAAGCTGTGTGGCTAACAGGGTTAGATTGTTTGGTATTAATTTAGCTGAGTTCATTGCTCAACTGAGCTTTCCTCTGATCAAGAGGGTATCCTTTTCAACTCAGAAAATGTTAACTTTAAAGAGATTTGCTCTTCGGAAATCTCTCCAGCTTCCAGCTTTATGCTCAGAGATTTTGCAGTCACTCCTTCACCCTGTCCATTTCACCACCACCATCAACAAAATAATAACCTACATTGATTGAGCTCTTTTTATGCGTCAGGCACCTCCTTGAGCACTTCAGCTATGTTATCTGTCACCATTCCTTCTTACAACTATCATGTAAATAGTGAGGTTGCACTCTCATTATCTCCACTTATACATCCGACACTCAGGCAGAGAGAGGTTTAGTCATTCACACACAGCCAGGAAGTAGTAGAGCACAGATTTGAACCCTGGGTGTCATTAGGAACAGTTTAACTTCTGACTTAAACCCTTTTGTTGTGTGTTTTTTTTTATTTTGTGGGATACCTCATCGTCTTAATGTATGCCATTCAGTTTGGATGCTACTGGGTACGTGTTACCTTTTAAATTCAAGTTAATTGCAATTTTAAAAAATAAAAAAGTTAGTTTCTTGTTTCCACTAGCCACGTTTCAAGGGCTCAGGAGAGCCTCCTGTGACTAGCGGCTGTTGTATTGGATGGAGCAGATACCAAGCATTTCCTGTGTCACAGGAAGTACTCCGGGGCAACACCGTTCTATGGCATTTAAACACTAGTTGCAAGAATAGTGCCAACTTGGCAGAGAAGCAAGCAGCTACAGGTTGTTCATGAGTAGATGTTTTTGGGCCGAGACCCAGAAGGTCCAGATTCAGTGAATCCAGGGCAGGCCCTAGAAATGAGTACATTTTTAAAAAGCTACCCAGGTGATCCTTCCACATCACCAGATCTTACAACTGGTGACTAGTCAGCAAATTAGCCTGTCTTAGAAAATTATATGTGCCACAAGGCTGCAGCAGAGAGCTCCTCATTCCGCTGCTTGTATATAGAAAAGCACTTCTTCTCCAAAGCTACAGTAACTGATGACCTACCTGTACATAAAACGTAATAAAATGTGCATAAATGTGGAACCCTCTGATCTTCCCTCCCTAGTTAAATGTTGAAACAGAAAGTCAGTGGTGTAATTTCAAAGTCCTCTTAATGTCTCTTTTAAGCTGAAAGCATTCTCAGCTCAAAATATGCTAATGGCTTTTTAAAACATTCATTTAGATAAACTGCCAGACATGTTTTTACATTTTCTAACTTTGCTATAATCAGGGTGAAAAACTTAACACACCCATCCACCTCTTGCAGCCTTCTCAGAGACACGTTAAATTTCATTTCTTTGTGCTCTTATTCATTCATTCATTCAGCACACATTTTTGGAGCACACACAATGAAACAGGCCATGTTTTATTTACACTCTGGACATGCAATCATAAATCCTTGTGGAGTTTTTTCTAGTGTTGTATGTGTGAGCATGTGCAGTGCCTCTCCTACAATGGGGTATGGGGAGAGGGAGATAAAACCCCCAATCAGTGAGTAAGCTGTATCCTGTGTCGGATGGTGATAAATGCTGAGATCAAAAATAAAGCATGTAAGGGGGATTGTGAATGCTGGAGCAGATATTGCAGTATTTAATAAGGGGACAGAGAGTGTCTCACTGAAAAGTTGATGGTTATTGATGTCTTTGCCTAAGTGAAATATGTGTTTGCCTTAAAGCTTTCCCTAGTAGCCTCTGCTTCAAGAATAGTTGCTATTCACATACCCCATAAAGGGAAATTTGGGGGTTATCTGAATGGTTCTCAATTTTCCATCTAGTAATTGCCATGGCAACTCTTTCAGGATAAGCCCTGGCTGCGCTTGACATCCCCTCCCCGGTGCTTTGTCAGATGACTTCACACGGTGAATCCCCTTGCCTTTCTTTAGCCATGGGGACAGGACTATAGTTTGTCATGCTTCTAGTCAGCCTTGGGACTGCAGTAGCGGGGAGGAGGTTAGTGAGCAGACCTGTGACTCCAGGCAATTTAAAAAAGCCTTCTTAAGAGCCAGAGACTTTTGAAATGTGCAATTAAAAATTGTATGTGTGCCCAGAGACCATTTTAAAAAGACCTTTTAGATGTAGCTAACCAAAAATAACTTTCCTTCCTGGGTGCCTGCCTCCTAGTGCAGGGGTATATGGAGACATGGGGAATATTTTGCTCCTTTTTCTTTTGGATAGCATTTTTGGTAGAAAAGTAATAGGGCATATGGGGAAGCTGTGTCAAGGGCAGGAGATAGGAAGTATAATAGGAGAGTTGAAAGAGTCTGACCCTAGAATGATGTTCACTACTTTGGGATAATCAGGGAAATTCAATTGAGCTTCTCAATTACAGAGGAATGCCCAAACTCAAAATAAAATATTGGATTTGTGTGCAAAATGTTATTTGTGAATGTTATCAAGAGGATTCACTAAATGTTTGGAAGCTATTTAGCTGTATATCTGTTAATTTGTTTTTAATGAGACAACTGATTTTGGACATACCTAGGCTATTTCACAAATTGTTAAACGATGCAAATGGACAGGAAAAATCAGTTGAATTTAGAATTCAATTCAAAGTAGTGACTCCTTTTAATTTTTAAAATAGCAATGCTCTGTTTATTTTATTTATTTTTGGTTTTGCTGGGTCTTCATGGATGCGCACGGGCTTTCTCTAGTTGCATTGAGCCAGGGGCCTACTCTCTAGTTGCGATTTGTGGGCTTCTTACTATGGTGGTGTCTCTTGTTCTGGAGCGCAGGCTCTAGGTTGTTCAAGCTTCAGTAATTGTGTTGCATGGTCTCAGTAGTTGTGATACAGGCTTAGTTGTCCTGGGGCATGTACAATCTTCCCAGGCAAGCGAGCATGCAGGTTGAACCCATGTCCCCTGCATTGGAAGGTGAAGTCTTAGAGAGAGTGTGTATTAGTCACTCAGTTGTTTCTGACTCTTTGTGACCCCATGGACTACAGTCCACCAAGCTCCTCTGTCCATGGAATTCTCCACGACAGGAATACTGGAGTGGGTTGTCATTTCCTTCTCCAGGGGATCTTCCTGACCCAGGGATTGAACCCGGGTCTCCTGCATTGCAGGCAGACTCTTAACCGACTGAGCCACAGGGAAGACCTAACCACTGGACAAACAGAGAAGTCCCATGATTCTCCATTTTTTTGTTTATATGAGTTATTCTTGGTGACCATGCTATGTCTCCTGGTATCATCTTTTTATTTTCAGAATGAGTTTTCTGTTTGAAAAGTTTCTGTGTAATTGACTCTACAAATGGGAGCCAAACTCAAGACAACATACTAGAAGCCATAGTAGAAAATATAATCTGTGACAAAACAAAAGACACAAAACAAAGACCCACTCCATTTTTTGTGAAGGGCCTCATAGCAACTCAGTTGCTGTCAAACTACATGAAACAAGACCAAGGATCTGTGTCAGACCGTGGACACCAAAGTCATCCTTCTGTTACATTTTCTTTTGATCTTCATGCTGACGCACAGTGAACCCTAGCCCCCTCCTTACACAAAAGGGTCTAGGAATTCCCTTATCACTGAAATCAAGAAGGACTTTCTTGAAAAACCTCCGTGCCCCATGCCCCAGCACAGGAGTTTGGAGAGATATCTCTAACTTGTATCATTTCTTATTTACTTCATCTTTTCACTCATGGTGACCCTCCTTACACATCTTGTTTTGATGCAGGCAAACCCTTTTTTACACGAAACCCTTCAGAGTTGAAAGGCAAATTCATTCACACGAAGCTGCGGAAAAGCAGTCGTGGCTTTGGTTTCACAGTCGTTGGAGGGGATGAACCTGACGAGTTTCTGCAAATCAAGAGCTTGGTCCTAGATGGTCCTGCCGCCCTGGATGGCAAGATGGAAACAGGTATGAGACACAACTTGGTCCTGTGTGGTCAGGACCAGACGGATCGTGATTTCTTGAGCTTGTTATTGTCCTTTAAAAACTTGGCGAATGAGCAAGCTTCCTGTGCTGCGTAAATGTGTCCCCTGGTATAGATGAAGAGCTTCAAAGCTGCTTTAACATTTTTCCTTTTGGGGAACTGTTAGGGTGCTGTCGAGTATAGTAAAGGAGTAATTTACTAAAAAAGCAGATCCATTTGAATGAATGAATTCTCAACTTGGTATTCTGCAGTGGTTTTTTCCTTTTTTTTTTTTGAACAAAAAAGCTCAAATGTTCTTTCAATGATCATTATATTCCCATTAGCAGGGAAGACAGTAAATGCTACAAGAATGCCTTATTAGCATAAACAAAGTAATAGAAGCTTTTTGTGCCTTGTAGTATCACCCCCTAATCCAATTTCAGCTCAACTTCTTATTGGTAGGATTTTATAGTATAAAATTGATAGAACTTTCCTGGGCAGTTTTTTTAATCCCCAACTCTTTTGCAGGAGACGTGATTGTGAGCGTGAATGACACCTGTGTTTTGGGACACACTCATGCACAAGTTGTGAAAATCTTCCAGTCCATTCCCATTGGTGCCAGCGTGGACCTTGAACTCTGCCGAGGTTATCCATTGCCTTTTGACCCAGATGACCCCAACACAAGTTTAGTGACTTCGGTGGCCATTTTGGATAAAGAACCAATTATTGTGAATGGTCAAGAGACCTATGACTCGCCAGCTAGTCACAGTAGTAAAACAGGCAAAGTCAGCAGTATGAAGGACGCCAGGCCAAGCAGCCCTGCGGATGTGGCTTCAAATGGTTCCCATGGTTACCCCAATGACACTGTCTCTTTGGCTTCCTCCATAGCCACTCAGCCAGAACTCATAACTGTTCATATAGTCAAAGGGCCAATGGGTTTTGGTTTTACTATCGCGGACAGTCCTGGGGGTGGCGGCCAAAGAGTGAAACAGATTGTTGACAGTCCAAGGTGCCGAGGCCTGAAAGAAGGGGATCTTATAGTGGAAGTTAATAAGAAGAATGTGCAGGCCCTAACTCACAACCAAGTCGTGGACATGCTCATCGAATGTCCAAAGGGAAGTGAGGTCACATTATTGGTGCAACGAGGAGGTATGTAGATTTATTTTGTTTCATTTCTTTAAAACCTTACATCCATTGTTACATATACTGGTTATCAGGTGACTCTTAGGGGCTTTCTAAACGTCTACTCCTCTAAGATCATTTTTATTTAAATACTGGGAAGTGCAGTCAAAATGCCTTCTGATTTCTCCAAATGCTAGCCTCTTTAGAATAAAGGTATACATTATGTGTTTATACAAAGGGCATGCACATAGGGTAATACTGTTGCTGAGAGTGGGATCCAAAAGCTTGAGACTCAAAAGTCAATAAAAATGCAAGGCTGGTAGAAAGGAAAATTCGCTTTGTTTTGGAGGTGGGCAACCTGAGGGAGGGTGGACTCATATCCAGAGGCCAATTCCCACCCGCCCATCCCCCACTGACATTCAGTGGGCGAGAACTTTTATAGACAGAAGGAGGAGGTGTATAGGCAGAGAGAAGAGGCTACATGTGGAAATAGCACAGTTGTCTTAAAATTGGTCATGCAGTGGTCTGATCAGTGTCATCTTGATTGTTTCAAAGTCAGTTTTAAGTTCCAGGGTCAGTTTATTCCCATTTCTTGGAGGCCAGTTCTCAGAATTGTGGCAGCTTATGTCATGGCTACATTCTGATCATCCCGTAGTTAGCTTATTCCACCTGATGGGGGTTTCAGTGTCTGTAAAACAGCTCAAAGGATATGGCTCCCATTGCTATCTGTAGCCATTGAGGAGGACCTCAAGGTCCCTAACTTTGCTTAGTGACCAAACTAATACTTTTTGGTTCTGTTTGATTGTCTTCATTCACTTCTGCATTTTCTTACTTCTCCGATTAAACTTAATCTTTGAAGTTTTTCTGTGGACAAAAGACAGGCGGAAGATCTGGAGGGAAAGAACTGTAGTATCCTGCTCTGTTTCAATTTCCTTTCAATGTAAATCAAACTGTGCCTTTTAAAACCCATTAAGACTTGAAAACCTTTATCCTGTAAGTCTCCTGAACCTGGTCTGCACAGCGTGCCTGTGAATTGTAGCTCTTGGCCACTGTTCCAGCCTCATCTCACACTCCTCTCCCTTCCTCAGTTTGCTTGGCCACCTGGCTTCTCTGTGATGCCTTCAGTTCTCTAAGCCCTTCTGTCTGAGGGCCTTTGCACTTTCTGTTTCCATTGCTTGGAAAACTTTTCCCCAACTCTTCACTTGGCTGGCTTAGTCTCATTCAAGTCTCCTCCTGAGAGAGGGATTCTCTGATTATTTATCTAAAGTAGCCCCCAGCAATCCTGTGTAATCCCTATTGCATCACTCCATTTCTTGTTAGCTTCTATCACAGTCATTATTATCGCAAGCCATTGTTTTGTACGTTTTCTTATTTTTCTTTGTTGCTCTCCCTTTTTCATTAGAATTTAATATCCTTAAAGCCAGGGCCCACGTGTGCATGTTGACAGTTGTGTCCCTGGCATTTAACATAGTATCTGACTCCTGCTAGGTGTTCATGCATGAACAGGTAATGAAGGAATGGACATGTGATTATTATTTCCCTTGGTGGGAGCAACAGTTCATGAATCATATTAAAAACATCTCAGCATACCCACACTTTGATGAAGTGGTTAAGAATCTCAGAGAAGTGAGGTATTCTAAATAAATCTTGAGACAGTTGGCTTTCTTCTTTTTCCCCTGTCAGCACCCCCATCCCCCCACCCCTGTCCCACCAGAACTTCCAGGACCTCACACTGAGAAATATTTCCTGGGTCAGTGTTTGTGGCTAATCTTGGTTGATTACCTCCCACAATGGGCAGGAGATTGGTAGTTCCCCTGACTCTTGCCAACACGATGTGTTTATGCACGGAGTATTCTGACCCTCTGAAAAAAGATCAGGACCAGACTTCTACTTTCTCTCCATTTCACTGAGATGGAAAAGCTTGTATATGTTGCGACAGTGATATGTTCTGTGATCAAAATGATCGGGGTTGTTGGAAGGGAATCCAGAATTCAGAACTGTGTGAATCACAGTGCTCAGTTCACCATTCTTAAACAGGTATAAAAGCCATTTACAGATTTTTTTCAAATAATTATTTCTACCAATAGTATTTTGAAGTGTCTTCTTGTACCCAGATCACTTGACTTCACAGATGTGTTTTAAACAGTGACCAAGATGTTACAGGAAGTGACTTGAGGTTAAGGATGAGGACGGGGAGAGGGTGGAGGATGGTGGTACCTGGCACTCACAAGCAGGAGAGCAGTTTACAAAGTGCTTTTCAAACCTACATGCGCCTCTCAGGCCATGTTTACCATGCCCCTGAAAGGTAGACAGGTACCAACCAAGAGCAGAATTGAGAAGTTCACCCAGATTCTTTGGTTTCCAGTCCAGTATTCTGCTTTACTTAACTCTGAATACTGCTGATTTTTTCATATTTGCTGGTTTTAGTGGCCAGCAGGTTGAAAACTTGTAAATAGTTTTTGGTACATCAGGGCATCTCTGATTCAGCCACTGTTCACTTGACATTACAAATCACACTGTTCTCTGTCTTCATTTATTTGCCCTTCCATTTCTTTTGTCATTTTGTTCAGTTTTTCTCTTCCATTCAATTTAATTTTAAAGGGACAAGAAGCAAAGTTATCATTGTAATCTACTAAACCACGGTGGTTAATGGAACCATTTTGTAATGAATCTGCCCAAGCTAGCAAACAACTCATTATAAAAACATATCCCTAGCTGATTCACTTTGTTGCACAGCAGAAACTAACACAATATTGTAAAGCAATTATACTCCAATAATAAAATTAAATAAAAAAAATTTTTTTAAGAGTGTACAGGGAAGCATGTTAAAGAATCTTAATCACAGTGAAATACAATGGAAATGATCAGACTATTCATCAATAAAGTATGGGTTAAAAATAAAATACCCTTGATTTCAAATATGTTTATTTTTTCTCTTAATTCCTCAGACCTCTTTGGTTAATGCTATTACATTTTATAACATTAAATTAATAAGAGAAGCTCCAGAATACATTACCACATTAGTCAACATCTGCATAGTTTATTCCAGAACCTGAGTAATTTAAAATCACTGTAACATCAGCAGTCTTTAAAATATGCTATATGCTTTGCGTTTGATTTATGCATCAGATAGAAAGTTTGTACATCTTCACTTGGCAAGCCAGCACCAGCTACTATTAATCTTTCTAGAAAGCATATAAATATATTTGTTTCTGCCATATATCAGTTATTTGAATCAGGCCTGGCATTTTAATCATTCTTCTTGTATGATGGGAATGTAAATGAGAAGGTTTGATGATCAATAAGGATAGCAGCTAGGTTAAATGAGAAAGCAAATGGCCATTTCACTGATTCTTTCTCATTTCTGTCTTAACTCCTGGTAAGCAGATTGATAAACTCATTAAGTCCACACTTTTCTTGATTCTCAGGACTTCATATCTCAAGCATGTCACTTTCTGTGCTTTAAAGAAGTAGTCTTTTCTACTTTGGGCAAAACTTAGCTACATTTGCATTTTGGTTTTCACTCTTAGTCTCCTAAACTCATTTATCATTTTTGTTCTGGTTGAGATCAGGTGCGTTTTGGTTTTTTTTTTTTCTATCTCGCTCCTGCCAACCTGAAAATAAGCAAAGGTTGAAATATTACTTGTAAATTTCTGGAGACAGTTTTTTGGGCCAGGCTTGGGCTTGCTGGGGGTGTCCATCCATAGCCTTGACAATTGGGATCGTTATTGATTTGTTTACAGGTGTCTTCTCTGTAAACAAGTCCGTGTCTGTGGCTAGCAGTCAAGTTCTATAAAGGGCAGCCCCTTCTTCCTTTGCCTGGCTTCCCATCTTCCCATGGCCAGTCCATTCCTCCTTCTCCCTCTGCCGTCCAGTCAGGAGAATGCCTTTTATTTTTCTTAATTTTTCACAGAGCATTTGCATTCAGAAGACCCATTACCTGACACCAGTGTGAGTCTAGAGTCTTTTTGCGTGTTTGGAAAATGATGCTACAAGGTTATTACTATTGTTTTGAATAATTTTTTTTAATTGACAAAAGATGAAGAATTTATTTCATGAAGGTTTTTTACTTTTAAAAAGGGATTATACTATATGTAGCATAACTACCTGTGCCCCCTGTGTATTTGACTAATTTATACCGAGTAGGAAGTACGATGCTTTTGAAGACACCATTGGGAGTGGAGTCAGAATACTCTTGTTTCAAAAGACAACTTGGAATATTTTTTGAAAGAGGAGAATGTGTCTTTTACTTGGACAGAAGATGTGTATTAAAAAAGCTGAACCTGAGGCCTTCCCTGGTGGTCCAGTGGTTAAGACTCTGAGTTCCCAGTGAAGAGCCCTGGGTTCATTCCAGGTCAGGGAACTAGATCCCACATACCACAACTAAGATTCAGCATGGCCAAATGGGGAAAAAAAGTACATATCATTTTGTTTTTGTTGTTGTTTGGTCACTAGGTCATGTCTGACTCTTTGCAACCCCATGGACTGCAGCATGCCAGGCCTCTCTGTCCTATACTATCTGCTGGAGTTTGCTCAAATTCCTGGCCATTGAGTTTGTGATACCATCCAACCATCTCACCCTCTGTCGCCCTCTTCTCCTCCTGCCTCAGTCTTTCCCAGCATCAGGGCCTTTTCAATAAGTCAGCTCTTTGCATCAAGTGGCCAAAGTATTGGAGCTTCAGCTTTGGCATCAGTGCTTCCTAAGAATATTCAGAGTTAATTTCCTTTAAGATTGACTGGTTTGATCTCCTTACAATCCAAGGGACTCTCAGGAGTCTTCTCTAGCACCACAGTTCGAAAATATCAGTTCTTTGGTGCTCAGCCTTCTTTATGGTCCAACATCTATCCATGACTACTGAGAACACCATAGCCTTGACTATAATGGACCTTTGTTGACAAAGTGATATCTTTGATTTTTCATGCACTGTCTAGGTTTGTTACAGCTTCTCTGCCAAGGAATAAGCATGTTTTAATCATCTTGTTTTAAGTGATATTTAAAAGAGAAAGCTAAACTGAGGGTTCCAGGA